GTGGCCCCACGACCTGCTGGCCCGGCACCCCGAGGTCTCTGCTCTGCACACGTCCTGAGGAGCGTGGCCCCACGACCTGCTGGCCCGGCACCCCGAGGTCTCTGCTCTGCACACGTCCTGAGGAGCGTGGCCCCACGACCTGCTGGCCCGGCACCCCGAGGTCTCTGCTCTGCACACGTCCTGCAGGTCCTACCAGCACTTACAGGAGTCCCGTGGAGGCGATGCTGTCTCTCCCTTCAAGTCAGTCACTCCACCTCTAAAGCCAGCACCTAAACCACCGCCTCCGCCCCTGGCGGGCAACTCAGTCCCTTCTGGCATGTAATGTCCGTGTCCTAGACTCCACCTAGTGCCCCTACCCAAGCACTGCACACCTGCCATGTGCTTCTGAAGGCTTCTGATGGGTTTCATGCATTTCGGGCTTCATCGGACTATCACCACTCAAACCATTCACCTGCACGGGACCCCCTGCTGGTCACAAAGAGTCACTACACCAAGGGGCCCTGAAGTGAAGGTGGGTCCCCAGAAACAAGAACCAGCCCCCTGGTCATAGGAGGAACTCGCGCAGCAATCACGTGTTAATGAAGCCGGTGTGCATGCGGGAACTTACCATAGCGCAACTGTTAATATATGCACGGCTGCCAGTGCGGTGTGGCATGTCTACCATGCGGTGCTGCGGTGCTGCGGTGCTGAGACTGTGCTCACCGGACAGCTGCGAAGGTCCCCCATGGTGCTGGCGTTGCGGAGCAGCTCCCCGAACATGTCTGGCGTGGGCTTCTCGCGGCACTCCAGCATGCGCACTGCCTGGTTACTGCAGCACAGGGGCACATGCGACACGAGCGTCCTCAAGCCCTCGCAGGCGACAGTGCAAGGACATCTACATAAGACTAGCGTCAAGGCCGGGACCACAAGCCATCTTCACCTACAATCCACGTGAGCATTATGCTCCGCATTTTGAGGAAACATAACAGGAGTTACAGACTCGGACCCCTAACCCAAGGGGCCCCACCAGATTCACTTTCCTTAAGGATGAAAACATGCAGGGCAACTTCATGAGTAATGTTGCTGACCGGTGTTGCTCGGACACTTTCCCATTGATATCTGGCAACAAATTTGTATTTGAATAACTGTGATCAGCAGTGGGCAACTTTTCGTGATCCACATCCAGATGAGTTGCCCTTTGTCTCACCTGGTTTGCAGCTGCCCGGCAACATTGCCCAAAAACAGCTTAAATCAGTCGTGATCCTATTCAACAGCATACACTCACCACCACGCAGATGTTATAACCTGCAATGTAGCCGTGACTGTGGCCCCCGTGTGGCCTGCGATGTGCGTTACATGACAGCATAACCAGGGGAGCGTTAGATAATCCATAACACTTACAAAAGGCCCCAAGACCCCCCCACGCTCAGGACTGAAGGCTAATCTGCTGTTTTAAATGGTGGGTGGGTGGGGGGGGGGGGGGTGTTATATCACAATCCCAGCATGCACTGCCCCAAGGGAGTCGGGGAGGGGGTGGGGAATGGAAATGTTGGCCACAAACCTGCCGTGACTGTGTGTGTGTGTGTGTGTGTGTGTGTGTGTCTTTGTTCCGGGAAGTACCAGTCAGTGCAGAGTACATTGCGGCGATAGGGCGAGGGCCAATCTGCATATCTGATCAGGAATTTACCAGAACTCTGTCTTTCCACCTCTCTGAGATGCTCTATCCCGCCCTGGGGCTCCCCTGCCTCCTCCCGCATCTGTCCCTCCTCAGGCCACACCCAGCACTGTCACCCTCTGCCCACTGAGTGCGGTGGGCCAAACGGACCTGTGCATGCTCATGGTGACCTTGATATCAAGCAGCTACATTCAGCACCAAAGCTCAGAGGTCAAGGCTCATCCCAGACATCTGGTCCCGATGTACGTGAGACAATGTGACGCTTTGAAAAAGGCTGATGATGAACAAAATCACCTCCAGGGTGAACTTCCTGCTCAGTGGCACCCCCCCATTCCCCCAGCACTGCCCCAACTTACCAGAGGGATGTGGTGGAGATGTAGTGGACCATCTGGATGAAGGGCAGCGGGTCGGAGGTGGCACCACAGCTGTTGCAAACGCACTAGAGAGGAAACGACAGAAAGCAGTTTCTGTCAGTCTGGACGGTGAGGCCATGACGGGAGGAGGGGCCAACCAACAGACATGCACTCCTGTGATAGGTCACCTGACAATAAGCCCCGCCCACCTGCTCGAAAAGTGTCATGGCGAACTTCTGGTGAGGGATGCAATGCTTGGCGGTGCATATGTCCTCCTTGGTCTCATCAGAGATGTGGAAGTGGATGCGCATCAGAAGGTTCTCCTGCAGGAAGCATGGACAATTTTTATGATGATAAGGATGATGATGATGATGATGATGATTATTGATAATAATAATAATAGTAATAATAGTGATGTTATTTATAATAATAATAATAATAATAATAGTATCAGTCATCCACCCTTCAGTTCACCAAACACCAAATCAATGTAGAAACACCTAAACAAAGCAGAAATAGCTAATCCAGTGAGTACATTGCAGAGCTATGGCAGAGGGCAGGGAAGCGGGTGGTTGCAAGTTCAAGTCTCAGGGTTACTTTTCAACAGTGAACCCACCAGGTTCACAAGGAATAGCAGAGCCATTGGGTGGCTAAGCCTCGTGCACTACGCTTCCGCTGCTCTTCCGGGGCTTGCTGGGCACACCACGCAGGGTCGCAAGGCGGGTAGTGACCCCACCCTCCTCTGGTCATCAGACCATGAGGCTCAGAAGCGAGGGGAGGCTGGCCAAGGCCAACACGCAACACACACTGCTGCAATCCTTTTAAAGCTCTCAACATCAGCAGAATGCGCGACTTGCTACTCCAGCAGAATGGTGTGAGGTACAGGGTGCGAGGGGGACCCATGCCGTGCGCTGGCATGCAGCCTGAGAGTGTTCGATAAAGAAAGCACTCAGCAAATACCGAAAGGATGGTCAGACTTAACAGCCCCTCTATAGGGGAAAACCAACCCAGTGAACATCTCTTCAGGAGAAAATAAACCGATTAAACAGCACTACAGGAGAGAAAGAACCAATTAAATAGCTCTAGGGGAAAAAGAACCAACTAAACAACTCTTAAAGGAAAAAAACTAAATGGATTAAACAGCTCTATAGGGGAAAAAGAACCAATTAAACAACTCTATAGGCAAAAAAGAACCAATTAAATAGCTCTAGGGGAAAATGAACCAATTAAACAGCTCTTTAGGAAAAAGACTATGGATTAAAGTGCTCTATAGGAGAAAACCAATTTAAACGCTCTGTGGGAGAACACATAATAAAATAGAGGTATTTTATTCATCCCAGTGGGGAACATGGGTAGCAAAGGTTGGGTCAGAGCACAAGATCAGCCAGTGTCCAGTGCCTCTAGAGCAGTTAGGTCAAAGGCCTTGCTCAAGGACCCAATGGTGATATGAGTATTCTGCCAGCAACGGGATTCAAATCCATGACCTTCTTGACATGGGCACAGATCCTTAACCTGCTGGGCTGCACACTGGCCAAAAGAATCAACTGAGAAGCTGTATCGTTAAAAATCAGGGTTATAACTTTCAAAAAATCCTTTCCTCCCATTGGGTTTCCTGTCCTGACTGGCACAGGGTTTGACTGGGCGCTTGTAGTGTGATACTGGAGCTGGCATGAGCTGACAGGATGCTTGAAACATATGAAACAGCTGTCAGTTTAACACCACCGAGAAAACCTCTGGAAGGGGACACACATTGGGGGAAACAGCTGCGGTGGCCAATGGGAACCTGGCTGACTGGAAGACCTATCAGATGCAATGCCGGAATCAGCCAATCCCCTTCAATAGTGCAAAGACGCCACAGGGAAGGCAGGTAGAGAGACAGAGTGGGCGGAGGCCTCCAGACAGGGCGACTTACGAAGCACTCGGCCGCGTCGTCCATGATCCCCAGCTGGAAGCGCTGCTCATCCTGGAAGGTCTTGGCCAGGGCGCTGCGCAGGGCATCGGAGGGCAGGACTTTCTCGCTGCTGTACTGGAACTGCGCAAAGATGCTCTGCGAGGAGAACAGAGTGGCGGCTTAGTGGCACTCAGACATGCATGGGTCTGGGGCCACATATGCAGACACGTGTCTCAGCTGCCAAACAGGCTTTCAGAACCAGCGTGGCCAATCTGTGCAAGAATCTTCCGCAAGAATCGCCCATCGCAGATGTGAAGATTTACATGATTGTATTTAGCAGATGCTTTTAGCCAAAGCGACGTACAATTGGGAAGGCGGGGTCAGCCGGCCCTTGGAGAAATTGGGGGTTAAGAGGCTTGCCTAAACGGTGAAATCTCCCTGCCGACTCTGGGATTCGATCCGGCAGCCTTCCAAAGCAGGCGGCGCGTCTTAACCCCCTGAGCCACACACCGGCTCTGAAGACAAAAATTACACTGCGGATAAAACAGCATCTTATGTGGCTCTCTGAACTGCCACCTTAAAGAAACAATAAGCAAGATTAAGCAAATATGGTCCACGGGGGAAAAAAGATGGACACAAGCAGCGAAAGGAAATGCTCACAGGTCACGCACCGGTGATCAGAAATGGGCCGGCCAACACCCTTCACTCCCGGATGGACCCGCTCGTATCGGCAAGCTGAAAAACCCAGGCTCGGTCCTGCTGGTGGACGGGTGCCCTCGGAAACACAGCCCCCCCGCCCCCCCCCACCGCGGTTCCATATGCTTTAAATTGGACAGGCTTTGAACATGAGAGTGTCTGTCCAACCCTCCCCACACGGCCACAATGCAGGAATCACAAATCTCAGAGGCTGCTGAGCCAAAGACAGCTCCATTGCAGACCAAGGAGGGTCACCCGAGGAGGAATGTGAGATCCGAGCACTTCCACAGTGAGCAGAAAGTCAGGATGCTGTCAGCTTCCAGCAGACCTCCATGACAGAAGAACATTGCCATTTCTCTGACAGGTGCTGTCACACCGCTCCAGTACTTGTACAGTCCTCGCTGGTCTTCCTGTTCTGCTCAGCACAATGCTACAGAAGCAGCCTCGGTTCATCTCCTTCCTCTGTCAGCAACGCACCCACCGCTTCAAACCCCCCCTCCCTCTGAGCGCTACTTGGTACCTGTCCAACTTTGCTACACACTCCTGTGCAGCAGGGGGCTCAAGCATAGAGAGCTCGATACAGGGCAAGGACACAGACAGCCGGGGAGGAAGTCTGTGCAAGAACATGTAGATTCCACCAGCACACAGATTCACTGCGCATTACCACTGGCATTTTGCATCACTGCATGTTATGTGTTTGTGGATTTTAAGTCATCAAGCCTGCAATCCAGATTTAACCTGCACCACACAGCTTAACCATATGATATATTTCACTGATATACCAGCCAGGCGCAGTGGCATCATAGATGAAGTGCTGGACTCTAAAACCAGAAAGGCTAAGGGATAAACACACAAGCAGAATAGGGATGTTGTACGTTGGTACATTAATTGAGAGTACAGCAGCAAAGCCCTTTCTGAAACTTTTGACACAAAGTCCATCTGAAGGAGCTCAGACGTCCAAAGCAGGTAGCTGCAGTCGGACCTGTAACATTGTGGTGTCAGGTAATGTGCTCTGCTACACCACTCTGAGGAAGCAAAGTCTTGCAAGTGGACTCTCCCCCCTCGCTTCTGGTTCACGACCCACTGCTGACTCAGGGCCGAGGGGAGCGGGGGGGGTCTGGGAGAGGGGATCTGGTGAGATTCATAGGCTGAACTGCTTTCACTGAGGGGAAAAAAGGCACATGCACTCACACACGCTGCGCAAATAACAATATGGCGCGCGACATGCTGCTGTTAGCCTAGGACCTGCCAAGGCGTTGAAACTGCATCGTTTGCATTAAAAATATGAATTATTCCACTGTTTGGACGCTTCCTGCGGATTTCATCCCGCTCCCATCTGTTCAGCTTTTCGCAGCCACGACAACTTGCCAGCGCGCTCTCCCTCGGAGCCCGCTGACGGGGCTTCCGGTTAACCATCCTGTTTACGCGCGAGTCCCCGCTCGAGCGTATGTCCCTGTCGGCGCGTACCTCCGCGTGGGCATGCGCGTGCTGTCCTGCTCGCGCGCGCACCGCAGCGTCCGTGCCCTCCCTGAAGGAAAATAACCTCGGTGGATTCTTGCGGTATGTAAAAACTTGCCGTGTCGTGATAATTGAAACACCTACACATGAAGTACCCCGCAAGCTTCAATATTTTATATAACGTAAAAATATGGCGAGGGAAAAAATAATTTGGAGAGGTTTCCCGTGCTTCTGGGAGATTCCCACCATATTTTATTTGCCTCCGTTATTTACCTCCGTCGGCTCCCGTACGCGGTGTGTACCGTATCAATATATCCTGCTTAACCTCCTGCGTTAATACAACAGAACAGTAAAGTTGCGTATCGGCCCGCGTAGCTTCATGGCGCTGTCAGAGGTGGGAAATGGCCCCGTCGCAAAAGTCGCGGGTTTATTACGGCCCCACTGGAGAGGGGGCGCTATATTAGCCGCTTTAGATCATTACATTTAAATAACGCGAGTGTCAAACGACTAGCAAACCACAGGCGGATTCCCAAATCAGTAGACCGCTCTTTGTGAGCTGTCCCTAATGCTCTTCCCCCGACGAGCCGAAGAGATCACAGAGAGGCATCCCGCTGGAGACAGCGGTGCTGCGTTTTAAAAAGTTACCTATTATTATTATTATTATTATTATTATTATGCGTGTAAATTATAGGGGGATGGGGGGTTATAACCCCCCAATAATCAAAAATGGCCAATACATCCCCCTGGACCCCCTTAAATAGGTTGAGACCTCCCACCCCTCTTTGCTCAATCCAAAGTTATGCCACTGATTATCATTATTATATTTTTGCCCCCCTCCAAGGTCTGACCTCAATTAAAGAATTGGTTGGTTATCACAGGAGTGTGGATATTTTCAGACTTTCAACTAAGGAAACATAGGTGTGTTTCTTATGCACGGAGGACACACATTGTGCTGAATGATATACAGAGGGGTAGTATGTGCGGGGCAGGGTTGGAGGGGGGACCTGAACCACTGATAAGAGTTCTCTGCTTGCTCTGTGCAGGTACTCCTAAGTTAATTAAGATGTGGAGTGATGGCAGCCTGTCCCCATGGAAACAGATGCTTATTTATTTATTTTCCCGCAGAGGGCACACAGTGAGCTGCATGGCATCCAAAGGGGTCAGGTGTGTGTGTGTGTGTGTGTGTGTGGAGAAAGAGAGAGAGGCAAAGTCAGGCACGCTGTACCCAGCAGACGGAAAAAGAGACCATCCAACTGCGGCCCTGATGAGGCACATAGGCACTGGCAGTCCGGCCTTTTAAATAAAACAGGAAGGGGGAAAGGGATAGAGAAAGACACTGAGGGAGGCAGGGAGAGAGGGAGGAAAAGACAAATGGACGAACCAATCAATGCAACGGCACAGACTCATCGAGAAATGCCAGTCATGTGACTGCCCCCACACCCCCACTGCGACAATAAGCCAAAGGCAGGACACGTTAGGGGAATGAGGGAGGGGGACAGCTCTGGCAGAGGTGCAAAAACCCATTCCCCGGGAGATCAAAAAAAGTAACCTAGTTTCGGACTGTGACAGGATTGGGGGACGATAGAGGGCATAGGGGGCAAACAAGGGGATGTGTGAGTAGGCAGGCCCACCCACCTTCACAAAGCAGCCCATGCGTCTCCCACGGAAACAAACCAAGCACAGGCTGGTTTCTTCTCGAGGGGGATACAGGTATACAGTGTGACAGTGCGGGTTGCTCGGGGACTGGGATTAAAGTGCTGGGGTACTTCAACATGTCACATGCCAGTAAGATCCTGCTAGAGATCATTCAGCACAGATTACACAGCCTACATACAAAGTGACATAGAAACAGAACAGAAGACAGAAAGTTCGGGAGGAATGCCGTCTCTATGGATTCTAATAGTCTGCATCATCAGTCGCGTAGTGGGAAATACTGCCTCCTGTACCTCCAAGTGTTGGGGGTTGAAATTCCACCTTTGCCCTGTGTGTGGAGTTGGATGTTCCTCCTGCAGTCCAAAGACATGCAGTTAGGTGAACTGATATGACTGTGTATGTACCCTGTGATGGACATCTAACCCAGCCTTATGCTCTGTGCTTCCTGAGACAGGCTACAGGCCACAGGACCCTGTACTACAAGATGGATGGGCAAGTACAATAGCCTGGGCTATTCTTGTTTAATGCAATATTGTTTCTTTAACCCAGAAGTTTGCTTCACTGACGCCAATGACTGCATCAGCTGCCATAGATCTCACAATGAACCTTAAAGTGTTTCACTGCGACTCCACCTTCGATTGTTTAACTGCCAAATGAACGTGACATGTAGCTAAACAAAAGTGTGAATGCTTCGTAACATGCCATACAAAGCCTAAATAAATATGAATAAAGATATGCGATGGCATAACATCTCATCACACAGAACACAGCATGTACTGATCCAGTTCATCTCAGAAAATAAGCAGTCTCCCATTTCAGCTGTCAGAGAAGACACAGCAAAAGCAACACTTTCTGAAAATGTGACCAGTGCCACGTGAAACCCCATTATGCTGGATAAACCGAAGTGCCAGAACCCATCAACACAGGAGTGCTATCGTCACGAGCGGCATTGCCTCTCTTTCTCGCTCTCCCCCTCTCTTTCAACTGTAGAAGCAGGAAATTAAAAAGCAGAGTGATTACCACTCTGTCTCCATCCGCCACAGTGGCAGCGTCTGTGTATGGTCCGGTCCTCAGTTGCCATGGGAATGCAGTCAGTAGCAGACACGTCACTCCTATCAGACAGGTGCTGTGCCACACAATACCCCTGATCCTGTGAGCGTCGGCCCAATTACTACATCCTTTGGGCAAGCATGCCCCAACTCCACTGGAAAAAAAAAACGGCTACATTCTATAAAGAGGGCAAGAGTCATTCATCAAAACTGTCAGTCTCATCTGTTGTTCACTGTTAGGAATCTCACATCTGCTACAGGTTTGTTCATAAATTGCAGTCTCTCATCTGCCACTCACTGGTAGGGGTCACATATCTGGTACAGGCTTGATCATTAGTAGTCACACATCTGCTACAGGTTTGTTCATCATTAGAAGTCTCTCATCTGCTGTTCACTGTTAGCAGTCACACATCTGGTACAGGTTTAATCATCATTAGGTGTCACACATCTTCTACAGGATTGATCATCATAATAAGCCTCTCATCTGCAGTTCACTGTTAGGAGTCACGCATCTGCTAAAATGTCATTTGCTTTTGGGAGTTACTGCTACAAACAGACCTTAGCTACAGTCACAGTTCAGTCGCAGGGCTATCTGGTAATAGAAACCACTGGTTAATAGTAAACCTGCCTGTACCTTAAGAGCACAGAAGATGCAGGAGTCCTCCATACACTTGTGCGTGGTCAGCTGGCGGAAGCTCCTTCGGAAGACGTCCAGATGCCAGAGAACCTGAGGAAGAAGGACAGAAACAGTTCCTGCTTAATGGTTTTTATAATGTCACAGAAAAAAAAAACCAGAAATGGCACATCCTGGAGGTGATAAGAATCCACACCGATGTGGAGACAGTCGATCCTGCCACCAGTAGGTTCTAATGAGCAACTGTGACAGCGAAGGCAGAGAGACAGGCCATGGGACACGTTGGCTGATTGCACATCCGGTAAAGAGGACGAAGTCACACCTAACCTACTCTCGGTGCCCAGCTCGACCCAATGCACTACAAAACAAAACACACCACTGTATGTTGTTCATACGCTCCATTTCAGAATCTAGTAACCTTTCTACTGAATATACATGTTCGAATTAACTTGGGAAGTTAAAAAAAATGACAGAAGTCTGACTAGATGTAAGTTACTGGTGTTGGCATATACCATGACCTAGAAGCACACAGGAATGTGTGAGAGAGGGAGTGCATGATGTGCATACAGTCTATCTAGACAATTTTACACAGATGGTCACACAGACTATGTGTTAATGAAAGCATAAGTGTTCACCTGAAACAGGAAGGTGATACATGCCAGGTTTTGCCAGTCTGTTGAATCTCAAACAACAAACACAAAATTCACCTCCCCAACCCCCTCCGCCACCTACACAGACATTTACTGCCTGTCTGTACAGCAATATCATCAACCCAAAAATCACGCGCAGCACAATGCCACTCTCTCCCATTCTAAAACTTACTCATCACGTCCCACACACTACACGGAAAGCGGGTAACTTACAGCCGCGTCTTTTATGTTACAGAGCTCCAGGACAGCCCAGGTCCAGGAAGGTCATCGTTGTACTTTCGTGTCCTTACCCTGAATTCCTCCACTTTATATATTTAGCTCTATAAACGGGTACAAACCAGTAAGTCGCTTAGCATAAAAGCTTGGATTAGGAATCTTTCAATCACGGAGAAGAAGAAAAATGGTGATGCCAGAAGAACCTCGGACAGACTCTCACTTAAGCAGTTTTAAGATTTAAAAGCCGCAAGATGCTCGGACTTTGCAGCAAAGGCGTTTCATAACCGGCGTGCTGTGACAAGCAGGGCGGGCACAAGCTGAACTGGAGCCAGCAGCTGTGAGGGAACGTGCAGGCTCCTCTCTGAAGGTGAGGGACTGTCAGCATCTGCATGTGAACCCAGTAAGGCTGTTCTTCCGCAGAGGCGCATTTAACCATTCATGTTCCCAGCTGTTTCTGCACTGCCTTCAACACACGGTCATGCTGTCATACCAATTTAATCAGGAGACTTGAACCAACCCCTCCCCACCATTCATCAGTGTTCAGAGCCAGCAAGAATATCTCCTGACCAAGCCCAGTGCTGAAAGGTTGCAATCTGGGAATCTGGAGCGAGCCAAGCTCTAAGTGCTATCGAATGTTTAACCGTTTTTATTGGACCCCACCCCGGCAAGGGCCCAAGAGCCTCCCGAGAGATTTCCACTGTCCTTTACATAACCCCACCCTCTCCCGCAAGCCCCACCCTCTCCCCGTACTGTTAAAAATTGACATGACTTGCGTTTGAAAAAATGTAACATTACTGGCACAATTTCGGTTTGGGTTGAATCACTTTAACTGTCATACCGTAAATCTGAAGGGAGGGGTATCTCAACGGGCAGAAAATCAGAAATAGCTGGAGACCTGCTTCGAAAGGCCCAAATTAAAGATAAAGTACCCACTCTGGTGTAAACTGTAGCGCGAAAGATGTGGCACAGAAATCCCATCTCCCTCAACAGCCTATGCCCCCCCCCCCCCCAATTTCAGGAAGATGAGTGTATCCATAAAAAATATATAAAAGTTCTGTTTTGCAGAGAACAGTGTGGGAACATCAAAGTTAGCTAAAGCCAGCAGTCAATTCATTGGTAACATGACTTTTGTTAGTATCGCGGAAATCTCCAGGTAAGAACTATGTTAGCTGCATGGGCTTATGCAGTGTTTCCCAACCCAGTCCTCAGGGATCCGCACATAGTCCATGGTTTTGCTCCCTCTCAGCTTTGGCTAGGAGCTAGGAGGGGACAAATATGTGGACCGTCTGTGGGTCCCCAAGGACTGGGTTGGGAAAAACTGGACTTGTGGACAGAAGGTTCCAGGGGGGAATATGGCCATTGTTCTACTGAACGTGGCTTTTCCGTATTTCAGCGACAAACGGCCGAGTAAGCATGACAGGCCAGACATCAGGAAGGAGTGTCATCACCCACCCCTCCAAGCCTGCCTGCCTGAACCCCCCTGCGGTCTGCTACAGAAACCGTGATGGATGTGGCCGAATGGAACGCTGCAGACGGAGAGCAGAGGAGGTGCTGGTGAGAGACTGTGTGCCAGTGCTAACGTATGCCTTTTTCCTCCCCTTCCTCTTCGCTCACTCTCTCCATTTTTGTTATAAATCAGCTCCCCGCTGATCAGCAAATAGAGCGAAATGCTTCACCAGAGAATGGATGCAGTGTGTCTGTCAGTACAGCGAGAGCCAGGCGTGGGACAGAGGGCCCTGGAGGCAACTCTTTGGATGAGACCCAGCCGTGTCACCTGACGGGCCACATCATATCACCTGATGGCCATTATCATGATACCCTATGGCCCTCCTCATGTCACCTGACAGCTCTCCTCGTCACATGACAGCTCTTCTTATGTCACCTGACAGTCTTCCCATTATCACCACATGACCCTTCTACCACTGAAACTAGAAGGCTCATCTCAGAAAAGTACAACAAATGTTGAGTGAAGCAGGGCTACAGCAGGGCTGATCATCAGGTCACCACAGCAGTGAATAATAGCAGCATTCTGACCAAGTTCCACCCTGGCCCAGAGTGCTGCCACCTATAGTTGAGGTAGCATCACAACAACATTAGACTTAGTGGACAGCAACTTATTCCTGTTGGCCTTTTGATGGGAAATCACATTTGTCATCTAGATGAATCATTTTACTGCAGTCAGCGTGGGGTTTCTAAGGTTTACCCACAAGCATCAGGAGAGCAGGCAAGCTCTTGTTGAAGGTAACACACAACTAACAAAACACAATTAACTGAACACAATGTCGGAGACCTGCAAGAGCTCTCAGACATCACAAACAGACACCCCCAGGAAGTAACAAACAGAAAACGTGGGAGGACCAGGAGCCCGAGTCGTATGCGCAGTCTTGGTCAAACCTGCACACCCAGACCATTTCTGCCTGCCTCTTCCTGCTTTTCCTTTAATGTGCTTTTGAGGTTTGCTCAAGTCTGGGATTCTTGTTACGTGTCTGCATCTTCACTTTGGCCATTTGGAAGCGGGCAGATGGTGAAGAAGACAGCGCACACACAGACACACACACTCATATATATACACACACACACAGGCACACCAGAGACCATCGCCCCTTCAAGGTTCATCAATGACAGTCTCTGAGGGTGGTCACCGTCTGTCTGTCCCAGGGGAAGTCAGCTGACTTTTTTTTGTCCTCCAGTACATACAAACACGAGTGCGTTTACCCCTCCCCACACCCGGAAGGGTAGTGCGCCAGTCCCGTTTGCCTGGGCTGCGAAAGTCCAGTTCATCTCGTCTCCGCCAAAACAGCACCTCTTTTTCGTTTCTCTTTCTCCTGGAGACTGCTTTGTCTTTCCTTTTTTCACTGCATAGTCCCCCCTCCCGGCTCCGAAAACATCAGTAATAAAATCCGGATCCTCTTTTTTTGACTTCCTGGTTCATCTGGTTCTGTCTCTGGATCAGCATTCCCACATACCCCCTTCTCTTATCCCCTCAATCCTACTGACCAAACTCCACCCCCCTTCCTTAATGCTCAGCGTAACCTTCAAACGCTAAACAACAGTGACAGCACGTCCAAGGAGTGCTGGGTAACATACGAGAACTCGATAAATCACATTCCCAATAGTCGAAAGACACCTTACAGTCCTGTCAGCTCTGCCCCAAAGAGCACAAGGCCTTTGTCACCATGGTGATGGGAACGGGGGTGTCCAGATTGCTGGCCTGGGGAGGGGTGGGTGTCAGACTGCCCCCACCCAAGCTTCAGAGTGGCAGAGGCCATTACAGTACCGCTCATTGCTGAGGCAAGCAGGGCCTGTTTTCACAGTCCGCCAGCCCGTTCCACTTCCTGTCAGTTTGGCCTCTTCGTAGTTTGTCCCCGTTTCCGAACACTTTTGTGCTCTTAATGTAGTTGAGTCCACAACTTGTTTTATGGAAATGTTCCTCCCGCAGAGCAAAACAGGAATGGATATTTATATTTACACACACACACACACACACACACACATACATATATATCAATCCTTATGTGTTAATGTATGTCAAATCATATTTTTCTACATGAATAATTAATATTTCCCCCTGTCATACATACAGTACATGCACTAAACCACTCCCCTGCCCCCACCATCTCATTGTACCCAAGATGATCGTCATCCAACATTAACCTCAAAGGACAAAAACTTAGGGTTGGAAGCAATGAAACACACTCTCATTTAAAATAATTCTCCTGAATACGCCAAGAAACATAAAGCTTCAGTTATAGAGAGAAACTTCCAGACAATTCTAGAAAATACATACATAATTAAACTGGAAAAACAACAGAAGGTCTAAAGAACCAGCCAGCTGTTCACAGGATCCTGTGTACCTCCACTATCCACTTCTGCTGCCTGTTCCCTACAGCTCGCTGAATTACCCAACAACCAGACCATAAACACTTTGAGACCTGGACACTGACAGTAACTATATTCTGTAAGGTAAGCATGTCATGTTTGAAATACAACATGAAAAAAAAAACATCCATGTGTGCTTCTCTCTTGGACAGCCACCTGGCACAGGAAGACAGCACGGAATAACACATTTATTCGGGATGGTTTTCCTTTCCCAGAATTCAGAGCAGGGTCAGCAAAGTGGAGGCAAATCATTAAAACAAAGGCTGGGTGTCACGCAAGCTGTTAAACAGGACGGCAGGCTGGCTGGACCTCAGGGCTGGTATCAGGACCACACTGACACGCCCATCAGACTGGAACCAGGGACAGCTGCAGCCGGTTAACACGCACAACCCCAGGTACACACACAACCTTACAGCCTGACTCACAGTCCATACACCAGCATGTCATTCTAGGATTTTTGGTATTTTCACAAAGAAACACCATCAAGCACTGAGTGGTAAAAACAGACACTAACAATTTTATGCAAGTATTTCCCACCCAGTTTTGGGTAGTTTCAGTGTCCTTAGTTAATTCTGATTCTCCAGTGACCTTGTACTTTTGAGTGCAGTTGTTTTGGTCTGTTTTTTCTCTGATTTATATCACACTAATTTGTGCAATTTAACCACAGTCAGACATATTTTTAATATTTTCACAAATACTCACGCACAATGTTACACTGTACAAATGTACAAGCACAGCATTGCAAAAAAACTTTAATGAAATCGCACCAGCAGCCAGCGTTGCCACCTGTCCTGTGTTGTACAGGATCGCTCCTTGCAGAAAAATAAAATGCTGTGTCCTTTTTCAAAGTAATACGAGGCATGTTTTTCCGTATTTTGAAAATGCCACCACACCCAGCTCGACACATATTACCTTTGATTGAAAGCGGGGCCTTCCCTACGAGTCTCCATCAGAATTTTAATGACAACCTTACACTGATAAAATGGCTCGAAGTTTAATTGATGGCTGACACCTTTAATTAACAATCAGGGGAGACCAGGGACAATTTGTCAACAATTTGTTGGTTGAGCAGTAGTTGGACAGACATACTTCAGCAACCCAACCGTACATCCCGCCACCTCTGCTAGCTAAAGGCTGCTAGAAACAACTCTGCCACTTATGAAACACATCATACTAAAAGTACGTAGATTAATGACCAAAAACATACCAGATTCAATTCAACAATTGTCCTGGGTCACCCCTAATGTTCTTCCCCCCCCCCGCCGGGATTTTAAACAGCAGTGATGGGAGACGGGCAGACACAAAAGGTGGGCGCTTAACTGTGGCAAATGAAATCGAGAGTCTAGGAAACAACGGAGGAAACATGAAATCCCCTCAGAGTGACTGTTTAGGTGGGTGCATCCTCACCGATAATTAGGCCACGTGACGCCTCAGACGGAAAAAAATGAAAACGGTAGCTCTCCACGAAATTCCCTCTTGATAATGCTTAATGTGCTTTACGCCAAACTGGCAGAGATAAAAGGACATGAAAAAAGTAAAAAAAAAAAAAAAAAAGCTTTTTAACAAAGCAGGGGACTGGTTATAAAAAGTCACACAGCAACAAAAACAGCAGCCAGAAGAATATTACATGCAGCATTGCAATTCTTTATAGTAAATGACAGTTGAAAAGAGACACAGATGTACTACAAAGGCAGCCTCTCTAAATAATACAGAGCTCATTATAAACACATTCTATTTAAATCATCTCTGTCTCTTTCATCTCCCTCTGTGGACCTGGAAATATAGATATGTATGCAAATTCAGGTTTTTCCAATCAAGACTAACTAACTGCATGGCTATTAAGTGTTACTCATCAAGACCACAGACGGGGTCGTCATTGAATGTTACTTATCAAGACCACAGACTGGGCTGTCAATGACTGTTACTCATCAGCACTACAGAGTGGGCTGTCAGTGAACCTTACTCATAAAGACCACATACTTGGCTTTCAGTGAGTGTTACTCATCAAGACCACATACTGGGCTCTCATTTGGTGTTACTCATCAAGACCACAGACTGGGCTGTCATTTGGTGTTACAAAAACCACATACTGGGCTTTCAGCGACTCTTACTCATTAAAACCACAGAGTGAGTTGCCATCGATTTGAGTGATACTTATCAAGACCACAGACTGGGCTCTCATTTGGTGTTACAAAGACCACATACTAGGCTTTCGGCGAGTCTTAGTCATCAAGAACACAGACTGGGTTGTCATCATGTGTAACTTTTCAAGACCATAGGCTTCCAGTGAATGTATCACATGGTTTTCATGACCACAAATGACACAACTATCAAAGCTTGCTCATCAAGATCACCAACACCTTTTTACACAAATGACATACCCAATGAACTGGCTGATAGTACCGACAGCACCCACCAAAAATCCAAACTTCCCTTCATATATTGGAATTATAAGAGGTCAAAGGTCCATGGAGGGTCGTCTTTAGGTCATCTTCAGCTTGTAAAACTAATGATAAATCTCAGTTAGGTACACATTGGAAATTTAACTGATCACTCTTTGGATAAAAGTCTGCAGAGCAACAAAACAAAAGCTTTAAAAGTGCCATAAGCTGATTATCTGGCTCTGGCTCTCGCCCTTCCCTGGGCCATGGACCCCAGCTGTGGGCTCTGATCTTCGGCCTCTCAGCAGGGAGAGCATGACGTCACTCCTGGACCGTTTTGACTGGCCATGATTTGAGCATCAGCTTTAGAACTATGCAGAATTTCTCTGAAAGTGCGTGCGTGCATTTATTTATTTCCTCATGAGTGTAATTTGGCTTTATGAATACGTTTCTTTCATCTGTTGTTTGTTCATGTTTGTTCGCCTGATTGTTTGCTGGTCTGCCTGTTTGTTCGCCTTACTGTTTAATTGTTTATTAGTTTGTTTGCCTGCTTGTTTGTCTGTTTGTTTGCCGGTTTGTTCTCTTGTTTACTGGTTTGTTTGCCTGTCTGTTCGCTTGTGTGCGTGAGTATGTGTGCATGTTCATGTCCCACCTGCAGGGCGCTGTTCAGGAAGCAGCTGTTCTGTCCCGGCTCATTGCTGAGCCCTTTGCTGGGTGCGATAGACGTCATGGTCCGGGGGGCATACGCGCCATGCATCCCGCTGCTGCCCGATGCAAAATAGTTCCTCTTCCACGACATGGTGCCGGTCCCAGTACTGGTCTTGTCCCGGTTGTGGATCTTATGCCACAGTTCACCACACGGCCGGCGCTTGCCAGGAGAATCGGGAGAGGATCATCTTCGCCGGGCAAACGGAGCAGAGCGGGCAAAGCTTAAAACGAGGGGGGAGAACGTCCAGAGGGCAGAGCACATTCTGAGGAGGGGGTGCCGGCATTCACTCTGGTCTTTAGTGGCTCCCATCTGTGGAGATCCAAGCCTTCGGGACAGTGAGGCGCTCCTACCCTTCACCGGCAGCAGGAGATAGAGAAATCTCTCGGGATTAGCTATTTTGGGTCTGTTTGTTGCTAAAAGTGTGGAGCCGGGAAGGAAGACAGGGAGCGATCTTGCAGAAAACAGGTGGGACACATACGGAGAGAAGTGTACAAAGAGATCTGTGTCTCCCTCTCTCTCTCTCCCTCCCTCCCTCTCCCTCTCAAGTCAGGGCCGAGGGGGGGCTCAGTTATCGGGCCATTTAACAACGCCTTGCACGTTTGACTCCTCACGGTGCTCCTTAGCAAAATTTAACAGCCACGTGGGGCTAGGCAGGGGGAGGGGGGGTGCATATGTGCCTGTGCTCCTCTGGCACTCCTGTGATGCCTCTCCTCCAAGTCCGCTTGATGTGCACGTCGCAGTGGGACCG